CGGCAGTTCCTACTATCTCTGACCACAAATCTGTTTTGCTGTAAACATTTCTTTCAGGTTGTGGGGAAGAAAGGCCAAACTTCAGTCTTTTGACCTCTTTAGTAGAAGAGATGACGCGTAAAATATGAAATCAAACTCGGACTAAATGTCTCACCTGAATGAGTTTCCTTCCTCTAGAATTCATTCCAAAGTTGAAGTGCAAATAGGAAGATTTTTTTTAATGAAAAGTTTCTGAATCTCAGTGGAAGCAGGTTGTAGAAGAAATAATGCTCCTGACCCAAAACCCACCGCCTCAGCTGTTATGTTCCTATCGCCAAATAGTCTTCTCTGCTTATCCTGAGGCAATATTTGTCAGCTAGAAACATAGACTTTAACAAATAGGGGTAGTGAGGAAAGGTTGCTGGAAATGCATGAAGGTAATAAAAGATATTTGGAAAATTTTGAGGAATTAAGCACTAAGTCATCTAATGCCCCATTTGTAAGTCTATGGTAAAGCACAGAAATCAAGAAGGTCTGTGATACAATTAAGGAAATTAGCACAGACGGAGAGGAGGTTCTGAGTGGTCTGACAGTCTTAAAAGTAGATAGATCTCCAGGAGTGGTGAACATGTACCCAGGCTGTTGAGTGAGGCAGGGGAGAGAATAGCAAGGGCACTACCAATAAATTTCAATTCCTCTCTGACAACAGAGAGGTGCTAGAGGGCTGGAGGACAGCCAATGTGTTTCTGTTCTTCAAGAAGGGAACAAGGGTAAACCAAGAAACTACAGACCGGCCAGTCTAACCTTGTTGGTGGGGAAACTATTGGAAGTAATTCCGAGGGACAGAATTAATCTGTATTTGGAGAGGCAGGGATTAATCAAGAACAGTCAGCACGGTTTTGTTAAGGGGAGGTTATATCTGACCAACTTGATTGAATTTTTCGAACAGGTGACCAGGTGAGTAGATGAGGGCAGTGTGTTAAATGTCATCTATACGGACTTCAGCAAAGCTTTTGATAAGGTCCCATACGGCAGACTGATAGGAAAGGTGGGAGCCCATGGAATCCAAGGAAATTTGTCAAATTTGCTTGGTACGGCAACTCCTCTGCCCTGGACCGTAAGAAACTACAGAAGGTGGTGTGCACAGCCCAGACCATCATGGAAGCCAACCTTCCATCCATGGACTCCATTTACATGGCTCGCTGCCGCAGAAAGGCTACCAACATCATCAAAGACCCATCGCACCCTGGTAATGATTTCCTACAACCTCTTCCGTCAGGCCGAAGATACAGAAACCTGAACACATGCACCAGCAGGTTCAGGAACAGATTCTTCCCAGCCATTATTAGACTGATGAATGGACTCCAGCCTCAAATAACACTGATCTCACTAACATTGATCTCACCTAGTGCACACCCAGTACAATGTAACCTGTATGCCTCTAAGTCTTTTTGATCTGTACATCCTTGCTTGCTATGATCTGCCTGTATTGCTGAAAAACAAAGTTTTTCACTGTACTTTGGACAATCAATCAATCAATCAATCAAACTGGATCCACAATTGGCTGAGTTGCAGGAAGCAGAGGTTGATGGTTAAGGGGTGCTTTTCCAACTGGAAGCCTGTGTCCAATGGAGTCATTGTTGGGGCCCTTGCGACTTGTGGTTTATGATTTAGATTGGAATGTAGGAGGGTTGATCAGTAAGTTCACATACAAAACAAATATTGGTGGCGTGGTATACAGTTAAGAGAGAATATTAGGCTAGAAGAGAATATAGATGGGCTGGTCAGTGGCAAATGTAATTCAATCTGGATAAAGGTGAGGAGATGCACTTGGGCAGAACAAACAAGGCAAGGGAATACTTGAACAGTAGGACACTGGGAAATATCAAGGATCAGAGGGATCTCTGGGTGCATATACACTGTTCTCTTCAGTTATCAAGACAGGTAGATGAAGTGGCTAAGAAAGCAAATGATTTCATATCTCTAGACAAGGCATAGAGTTTAACAGGAGGGAGGTGATGCTGGAACTGTAAACAAAAACATGGGTTAGGCTGCAGCTAGAGTATGGCGTGCAGTTCTGGAGTCTAGCAATTGCAGTGGAGAGAGTGGAGAGGAGATTTACCAAGATGTTGCTTGGACTGGAAAGTTGGGTTCACATTTGTTTGTCATTTATAAAATAATGTGGATGAGAATTTAGGAGGCATGGTTAGTAAGTTTGCGGATGACACTGAAATTAGTGGTATAATAGACAGTGAAGAAGATTGTCTAAGATTACAACGGGATCTTGATCAACTGGGCCAACGGGCTGAGGAGTGGCAGATGGAGATTAATTTGAATAAATGTGAGGTATTGCATTTTGGTAAAACAAACAAGGACAGGACTTATACAGTTAATGGTAGGGCCCTGGGTAGTGTTGTTGAACAGAGAGACCTCGGGGTTTGGGTATATAGTTCTTTGAAAGTTGCATCACAGGTAAACAAGGTGTTTAAGAAGGTGTTTAGCATGCTTGGCTTCATTGAGGATAGGAGTTGGGACGTCATGTGGAGGGTGTACAGGACGTTGGCGAGGCCACTTTTGGAGTACTGTGTGCAGTTCTCGTCACCCTGCTAGAGGAAGGACATTACTAAATTGGAGAGGGTTCGAAAAAGATTTACCAGGATATTGCCGGGAATGGAGAGTTTGGGTTATAAGGAGAGGCTAGATAGGCTGGGACTTTTTTCACTGGAATGTAGAAGTTTAAGGGATGCCCTTAGAGTTTTATAAAATCATGAAGGGCATAGATAAGGTAAATAGCAAAAGTCTTTTTCCGAGGTTGTGAGAGTTCAACACTAGAGGGCATATTTTTAAGTTGCGAGGAGAAAGATTTAAAAGGGACCTGACGGACAACTTCTTCACACAGAGGGTGGCTTGTATGTGGCATGAACCACCAGAGGAAGTGGTAGATGCAGGTACAGTTACAACATTTAAGAGACATTTGGACAGATACATGAATGAATAGGAAGAGTTTAGATGGATAGGGGCCAAATGCAAGCAAATGGGATTAGTTTAGTTTGGGAAACTTGATCGACATGCATGAGTTGGATTGAAGAGTCTATTTCCGTGCTGTATGACTCGATGACTCTTTAAGAGAGATTGGGCAGATTGAGGTTGTTTTCCTTGGATCAGAAGAGACTGAGAGGGGACATGATTGAGATGTATAAAATGTTGAGGGGTGTAGAAGGGTAGACAGGAAGGAATGTCTCCCCTTGATGGAGGGATCAGTGGACAGGAGGCATAGCTTTGAGGTAAGGGACAGGATGTTTAGTGGGAATGTGTGGAAAAATGTTTTCACCCAGAGGGTGGTGGGTATCTGGAACTCTTTGCCTGTAAGGATGGGAGAGGCAGAAACCCTCATCACATTGACAAAGTATTTAGGTGTGCACTTGCAAAGACACGGCCCACAAGGCTATGGGCCAAGTGCTAGAAAACAACCTCTACAGTATGGAAGCAGGCTATTTGGCCCATTGACCTTCCAAAGAGCATCCCACCCAGACCCACCCTCATTCACTATAACCCAGCATTTCCCATGGCTAATCCACCTCGCCTGCACATCTTTGGACTGTGGGAGGAAACTGGAGCACCCAGAGGAAACCCACACAGACACAGGGAGAATGTGCAAACTCCACACAGACAGTTGCCCAAGAGCAGAATTGAACCTGGGTCCATGCTTTGAGGGAGCAGTGCTAACTACTGAGCCACAGTGCCACCCCTAAATGTGATTAGAATAGTTAAGTGCTTTTGACGAGCGCAGATGTGATGAGCTGAAGGGCCTTTTTCTGTGCTGTAGATCTCTATGACTTTGAATCTAAAGACAGATACTTTTTGGGTAATACTGTGAGAATGCAGAATGACGTAGAAAGGTAAAAACACCATTGTCATCATTTGGCGAATACATTTAAAATCCATATTCAATTTAAGGTTGAGGTGTAGATCACCTCTGTATACAATAGTGAGGTGAGCAAAACGTTTCATGAAATCAGACTCGAGACGACAAATGAGACGACAAATCCATCAGCATAAAGAGTAATACTGGGAGCTAAGACTACCTTCTAATGTCATTGGAGATATGCAACCAATGGCAAATGTCACAAATTTGACACTAAAACTGAAAGTGCACAGCAGATCAGCCTTTACCTGAAAGGGAAATGTAAGTTTACATCTTGTTGGGGCTGAAATATCATCTGGGTCTTTAAATGATTTCTGTTTCAGTTAAACACCTATTATAATATTGCCAGTACTTAGAGTTACCAGCAACTCTTCAGATACTGAAGCAGTCCATGTTCACATGCTACAAGATCTGGGCAAAATCCAGGCTTGGGCTACTAAATGGCAAGTGGTATTCAAGTAAGCATCACGCCAATGCCAAATAATGACCATCTCCAATAAAAAACATTCCAACTATTGCCCCTTGACATTCAATGGTGTTACCATCACTGAATTGCCCATTATCAACATCCAGGTCAAAGCAGCCCCCGCTTGATTAGCACCACATCCACAAACGTCCCACTCCCTCCACCACCGACCCTCAGTAGCAGCAGTGTGTGCCATCTACAAGGTGCGCTGCAGAAATTCACCAAACATCCTCAGGCAGCACCTTCAAGATCCACAAATACTTCCATTGAGAAGGACAAGGGCAGCAGATACATGGGAACATCACCCCCAGCAAGTTCCCCTCCAAGCTACTCACCATCCTGTTTTGGAAATATATTGCTGTTCCTTCAGTGTCACTGGATTGAAATTCTGGAATTCCCTCCCTGACAGCATTTTCGGCCTACTTGCAGCACATGGACTACAGTGGTTCAAGAAGGCAGCTCATCACCACCTTCTCAGGGGAAACTAGGGACGGGCAATAAATTCTGGGTGCAGACAGTGACACCCACACCCCATGAGTGAATAAAAAGAAATAAGAGTGTGATATGTATTCACTGAACACTTTTAGATCTTAAAACTTGGTGATAATATACAAAGGGCTCATCACTTACCCTATAATCACTGGAAGTCACGTAAAATATAGGCAGAAAGGCAAGCCAGATGATACATGTTGTGTACATGGTAAATCCAATAAATTTTGCTTCATTGAAATTTTCTGGACATTTTCTAGTCTTAAAGGCATAAACAGTACATAGGGTCACCAGCACCACATCATATGTCAAAGACATTAGCATACTGGAGTCTTTTACATTACATTTCAAAATGACTGTCTCTCTTTTCTCAGGGACAGTGTATCTTCTTGTACCAGGAGCCTCCAGCATGAGCCAGACTGACACAATGATAATCTGAACGGAGATGAGGCTCAGACAGATGAAGACTTGGGAACTAGGACTGATGAACCTGGGTCTCTGAGCCCCTTCCCTCACACCATTAAATATCCTGGCAATGCGGTTGGTCTTGGTAAGCAGTGCTGCGTAGCACACGGCAAATGATGTGCCAAGTCCCATTCGGCGCAAGGTGCATATCGCAGGTGAGGGTTTCGCGATGAAGAAAAAGGTCATGCAGTAGGAAAAGAAGACCCCGAACAACAAAATGTAGCAGAGCTCACGCCCTGAGGCTTTGATAAGAGGTGTGTTGTTGTGCTTTACAAAGATAGTGGCCACCATCAGTGTAGTAACAATCCCAGCACACGAGATGGTGATTGGTCCTACAGCCCAGACATCTCCCCATCGGATATACTCCTCTGGTAAGTCATAGCAACCTGTGAGGTCCTCATTGGGCCATCTGCCTGGCCCACAGTCCTTGCATGTGAACTCATCCTCCAGGTATGCATAAGGGTCACAGGGCACACAGATCCAGCAGCATACATCTCCCGGCTGCATGTTCTTGATCTCATTCCGGGCACATGGATCGCTGCACTGCGATGTGGGAATGTGGCGTCTGGGCCAGTGAATCAGGGCCGTGTTCAGAGACAAGGACTTTGCCCACTGGCCAACCTTGATGTAGGTGTATTTTCCTGCAATCTTCTGGAAGTTGAAGACATTGTAACGACCAATCCCATCTCCGTTCTCATCGAATTTGACTTCACTGTCCATATCACTGGATGGATGGAATGGGGCTGCAAAATAAAGACATTAGAAAGTTCAATCTGTATGATGGATCCTATAAACAGCAATTATTCAAAGATAAATTTGCTGTAACACCTAAGCACGTC